ATATAAACCTCAAAACAGGACATTTAAACTCTTAAATGAACTGAAGAACCGCAGCATATATATATATAGCATATAATCCGCTGGCTCAGCACTCTCAACATATCAAGGCACGTCATGCTTATAAAACTCAATAAAAACTAAGCTTTAAGCATTTTGAACCACATAATCTCAGCACAATTTAAGGTAATAAGGTCTTAGCCCAATTTACCTCTTTCGGCACAGAAAAAAGAAACAAGGAAAAGGGCTCGGTTTGCTATAGCTCTCGACCGCTGCTCTCAACTCTCTGTCGGAACCGACGACTCGGCTCACCGTGAAGGCCTGGCCTCTTTCAGCCGCAGAAAAAGGGGTCTGCTCTCAGACGGTGAACTCCCAGGCTCGGGTCTGCCGCCGCCGAAAACTCGGGCTCCTCGGTCGTCGGTGGCTCGCTTCTGGTCACGGACTCCGGATCTCGGTCAGGGTTCTTCTTGGCTACGGGATGGCCTCGCCAAATTGCCGGAATCTGCTGCCCAATTTCGGCTTTGCGTCGCAGCAGTCGGCCGCGAATAAGGCTCGTCTGGGTGTGCTCGAAAACCAGCTCCAACCGCGGTCAATAGGGCTGCTCGACTAGCCGAAAAGTGGTGGTTCTCCAGTCGCTCGGTTCGAGGGCAGGGATCGAGGTACGTCCCCGAACAGTCTCCAAATGGAGCCCTCGACTCTGCCCAGTTGAGTGCTTCCGCCGGAAACGATTGTTTTCAGTCGCGATTAGAGGGCCTACTCTCACGTTCGAGGCTCGGTCTGTTGCTCTCACCGGGAAATCTGGTGGCTCGCGTTTCGATAACGAACGGCCTCGTGGTTGTTCCTCTGCCAAGTCGCCCGTCAGCCTCGCAAGAAATCGCCTCTCCGTGAATGGCTCGGTCCTCAGAAGTTGGTTCCCGCCGCGGCTACCTTCCCCTGTCGCGTGTTCATCTCGCCGTTGGGTGTCTGGACTTATCGTGACTGGAGATTAGGGCTCGAACTCACCGGAAATTGTTGAAACGCCGAGATTTCTCGTCATCGGGCCGGCTGTCAGCGGTGGATTGAGGGCAGGGCGGGAGGAGGGCCGGTTTGCGAGTGAAATGGAGAGGGGTTTGGGAATTTTTGCAGGAGAAGAAATTGAGGATGACAATGGGGCGTTTGCGCTGTTTAATGGGAGTATTGAGCATCTCCAACGCGGGAAAAAAATGAACGTCAGTGTCATCATTGCAGACAATGTCTTCATAATTTTATCTCCAATGAAAAATAAATGTCAGTATCATCATTGAAGACAATGTCTTCATAATTTTATCTCCAATGAAAAATAAATATCAGTATCATCATTGAAGACAATGTCTTCATAATTTTATCTCCAATGGACTCTGTTGTGATTGAATATTTTGTGATGTTGCATGACTACTGTGAAGCGCACACAAAACGTGTGCATTTATCTGATACATGAAAATAACACTATTTATGTTTTAAAAATTAAGCCATGTTGTATTTACTTGAAACATAAAAATATCAGAATTTTTATATTTTGAAAATTAAACTATTTTGTATTTAAATTGTTTACATGATACATGCACATAAAAATAACATTGAATGTAATTACAATTTTTATATTTTAAAAATTAAACTACGTGTAAAAATTTGTATTTATTTGATACAAGAAAATAACACGATTTTTATATTTTTAAAATTAAACTATTTTCTATTTACTTGATACATAAAAATAACACAATTTTTATATTTCAATAATTAAACCATCTTGTATGTACTCGATACATGTACATAAAAATAACATAGAATGTAATTATATTTTTTATATTCTGAAAATTAAACTACGTTAACGTAAAATTTTGTACTTACTTGATACACAAAAATAACATGATTTTTATATTTTAAAAATTAAACCATTTTGTATTTACTTGATATATAAAAACAACACAATTTTTATATTTCAAAAATTACACCATTTTGTATTTACTCACATGTACATAAAAATAACATTTAATGTAACTACAATTCTTATATTTTAAAAATTAAACTACGTTGTATTTACTTGATCATTTTTTTACGTAATTATTTTTTTCTTTCCAAAATTTATTCCTAATTAATACATGTACACATCCAAGGAAAGTAAAGCATTGGAGATAGTTTTACACAGTTATTTTATACGATGTCAACATTGATGTTATAAAAAATCACAATCTAATTAATTACTGCCATGTGCCATGGACATTATAACATTAACACCCATACACTTTAGGGTACGGAAGCCGGATTCCATGGAGATAGTTGGGTTAGGGCGTCGTGGTCTCCGATGGTGGCAGATGAGCTGTTGAAAGGAAGGAGTGAAAATCCGAGAGGAGGGGAAATTCGATTGAGTAGTGATCTGGTCTCACTCCTTGTTGGGCTTGAGTTATTGGGTCAAGGTACAAATGGGCCGACAAAAGTTTGATTTTTAAATTGGCCGGACTTACTAGATACTAGGCAAACACTTAGAAAAATAAAATAAACACAAGAACAAGCAAATACACTTAAGCCCAATAATGACTTAGGGAAAATAAAATAAAATAAAATAAATAACAAGTACACTTAGGCAAAACAATAACAATTTAAGCACTTAGGAACAATTCAAATAAGCAAGAGCACAAAATATTAATTAAGAAGACGAGGACATCCTCTTAAATATAAACTTTCGATTAGGTGATTTAATTTGAAAAATTAAATATGCGAGGACATCTATTTAATTCTAATAAGATTAAAAGGAAAAAATTGTCGAGCACGACAACTAAAATAAAAGTGAGGCGAACAAATAAATAATTATATAAAATCCATGAATTCTAATAAATGAATGGGGCGTTACACGGAGGGGCCTGCTGGTGAGGTGGAGATGGAGGCGGAGATGGCTTCCGGTTGTTGCGGTTGCGAGTGTTGCGATAAGCCATAGTTCCACATTGAATAGGCCGAAAAATTTAGCACAATAATAATAAAGGAAATCTAGAGTTCGTCTTGAAACACTAGAGCTCAAATTAATCAAAGGTGGATAGATTTCCTAAGCCCCAACATATTAACAAGCTATATCACAAGTAGTTTCATTGCTACTTATGTACAAATTCACAATTCACAGCATAAGCATTTTCATTGATACTTATATAAAGCATACCTTTAATCAGTGCGGCATGACGGAGACGAGTGGTCAATACACAAGGTCTAAATCACATAATCACATAATCACATAAACAAGTTATTCACATATAAACCAGTCTACAGAAACGCAAACAGACTCTGATACCAAAATGTAACACCCCACTTTGATTTTAAAGAAATTCCAGACTTTCCAAAAATCAATAAAACATTTTCAAAATCATGGGCATTATTTACAACATTTACATAGTCCAAGTCTTATCTGGACCCACGGGGATTCATAAACCCAGTTTTCACAAGGTTTTCATTAACCCATTTCACAACATCTCACAAGATATTCAGCATAAATAATCAAAACATGTTATTCAATAAAACACATACCATGAATATCCAAAATCAACAATCCCAAAACATACGTGCGAAAACAATTCATCATGTTTCATAATTCACGAGTTCATAAAAATTTTGGAAACAAAAACAAATAACTAGTGACCACCCACTCGTCTTGCCTCGTCATCCGCCACCTTCTTAACCTGCATCCGTGAAGAGACAGATGGGAGTGAGCACAGTTGGAAACCATAGTGCTCACCACTATGCACATAATATAATAAAATGTTAAGATAGTATGGTCGCAGTATGAATGTAAATCAATCATCATCATGTCTCTTCTCCTATCAATAACACAACAATAACTCACTCATGTGCACATCTATTATTAGCCGCGGAAAGGGGATGCATAAACCCTAACGACGGGAGTGCGTGCCACGCAAGGACGCGACCTTTCATTACATCTTAAGGAGATTTTGCCTCGCAAGGGCAACCGTACCATAACTCGACAAGGACAACCATACCGACGTTCGCAACAGCTCACGTCAGTAGGCCACATGATTTATGTAACACCCCGCTCAGCAGAGTAAATTTTTCGCAACTTTTACTTCGAAAATACTTATAAATCTTTCGAATCTTTTGCGACTAACTCGGGATGCTACTCAAGCTCATCTTCTTGAAAATCTATTTATCTTTAAACTTTTGTCTAATACTTCTTTAGACATAAAGAAAACAGATTTCCTTTAAACTTGCATTTAACTGTACCATATTCATACTTCTCGAAATGGTAAAAACTTGAAATCTGAAATGCAAGTTCAATACTTAATGTGCATAGCGGAAATACTTAAAAACGTGGTTTATTATACAGACAGATCAAATACTTAATAAATGTCCACTTGAAATAAGTGCACGACCACCACCACCACTGCTCGAGCTCACACCTCTGGCCCGACCCTGTTACCTGAAAAACACAATGGGGGTGAGTACTGATCCTCTTGTACCCCGAAATCACCCATACTAAAGTAAACAGCAATAATAATACAATATCATGATCTTTGGTATATATCTGGACTGGAAATCTGTTCCAGTAACTTAAACTGAATCTGGCCGATATCTGATCGGATACTTGTGCACAATCTGATGGATATTTCTCAAGGCAACTCAAACGGCCTCCATCCGAACTTAGGATATACTCTGAGACAACTGAATGCCTCCTAATCCCAAGCGTATAAACTTAAACTGTATACATACCTCGAATATGATATCAATATTATACTCAATGTAATACCCAGTCTGAGTCCCCACCTTTCTTCTTTTGAAAACTTTTGAAAAATGTAAGTGTTGCTCCTGGGTAGCTATATCTACAAGCTACATAAAAATATAAGCAAATATACTAAGTACTACGCTCGTATACTCAATAAGATTTAACTCTTACTTATCTGAATCTTAAAGATATTCAATAAGCTTAATATGTCTCAAATAAATATTAAGTCATCAAACATCTTAACTTTTTCTAACATCATCAACATGATTTATAAACTCATCTTAATCTTTTATTCAATCAATACTTAATTCATCATACATCATATCTCTCAAATTTTAAATATTGGCTTGTATTAAATTTTCACTTAATTAATTTGAAAGTGAAAATAAACTCTAGTCATACTTCCACTTTTAATCATAACATTTAATCATGATATTAATATGTCATACTTAATACAATCTTTATGAGATTATATACTCAACATATTAAACTAAAACTTTGTCAAATTGCTCATCACTTATATGAGAATTGATCATAATAATCACACTTTAATAACTTGATCATATCATGAATATTCTTGCATATATACTCATCTTTACATATATGCCTTGTAATTATCATAACTCATTCATTTCTCATCTTCAAATTATGAAATTTAACAGTCATAATCTCAACTCATAATTAGACATGTCATAAAAATTTCATAATTTTAGCATGCATATACATCAAGTTATTAGAATTTAAAGTCATAGTGAACATAAAATTCATCTTGCATGTTCAACTTCAAAAATTCATAACTCAAGCTATACTTAGCCAAATCACTTAATTCTTGTTCTCATTTACTCCTGTTTTACATAAGAATCATTTAATAAAATCATACTTTTTCAGCTTATTCATATCTTTATCAACATCTCATCAAATCAAGCACATATATCATATAATTGATCTTGAACAACTTTAACTCTTTGTATTCATAGAATCAATTATAAATTTAACTTCTAAATCATGATATACTTACTTATAAACATGTAAATTCATTATCAAAACATGAACTTAAGCATAAAACTTTAAGATAAGTAAATTACCTCCTTCTTGCTAGAATCGTAACTTGATTCTTCACTTCTTCACAATTTCTATTACTTATCTCTCTTACACTCATATATATCTTTTGGTACTTTTCTTTGGTGTGAGAACTCTGATTTTTAGGCCTCTATTTATAGGCACAATTTGGCAAGACATCATAATGGAGTG